ACAGTGGCCTAACATGGTTCACCTGTGGGGTGTCCAGAATTGCACACACTGATGCGTTCTGGATTGGATGAAATCTCCAGTTGCAGGTGGCCTTACAGGTCAGCCCCATGTAGGGTACACTGCAATAGTCCAAATGGGAAATGACCTGGGCATGACTGACCATGAGCAGGATCTCCCAGTCTTACAATGATGCAGCTGACACACAAGCTAAGTCTGTGCAAAGGCCCCTCTGGACATGACTGCCATCTCTAGTGTAGAAAGACCTCCAAATTGTGCAGCAATCTTGTCAAAAATGCAATAAGTAACTCTTTAGATCCAGGAGTCCCAAAACCCAGAGACACTCTGGCTTGCTAGAGTCATGTAGCCAATTTCTTTCCATCCAGATCCACATCCTTCGGGGTCTGGGTAAGCACTTAAATGGCATCTTTTGTCCAGCCTGGGCTTTCTACTCAATAAAACAGAGTTTAAGAAAACCTTTGAAAAAATAATATTTTTAACTAGCAACATCTACAGCAGGGGTAGCAAACTCGATTTCATTGAGGGCCCATTAGGGTTGTGTTTGACTTCAGAGAGCCGGGATGGGTGTGGCCAGGGTGGGTGTGGCCAGCTCAACATCACAGGTGTCGGGGATGCCTCCATTTTTAGCTGCGACAGTCTCCTGCAACCTTCTGCCAGCAAAAGAGCTCCATTTTCACTGGCAAAGGCACTGCGGGCCAGCCCTTTGCTGTTTCCAGGGTAGCTCTGCGGGCCAGATCTAAGCACCCCGTGGGCCGCATCCGTCCCACAGGCCTTGCGTTTGACATCCCTGATCTACAGAGTATATGTGTGTTGGTGGGGGGGAGTTAAAATCTACAAGATGAACAACACAGGTTAACTCTTTTGTATGTGTCAATGCTGCACACATATACAAAAGGGACAGAGTTTAGATTGTGACACCCATCACAATCCACCCAGCACCTTTTAATCCTTTCCAACTGAAGCAAATCAGATCAAAGCAGTTGCTTTTAAAGAGATCATCTTAAAAGGTACTGACATTTTAGCATGTGCAGCTTTATTTACATTCCATTAATTCAGTGAACAAATGCTGAAGATTATCCTAGAGGGGATGAATTCTGAATTGCTTCTTCAGATACTTCTGGCAAGGCCAAATGATCTCAGTGGGCAAGACCAGGACTCTTGCATCTGAAAGCCCATTGCCAGATATAATCTGGCCAGGAAAAAGAGCCTAGGTTTCAAATTGAGAGGTTCATGGCCCCTTTCTAGTCCTACTCTTAGATCTTTGTCTCTATAGACTAATTATAAATATATATAAATTTTTTGATAAAGACAGTTAATTCTCCATCAATATTTCTGTCATTTTTCCTCTTGTTTATGGATGGATGGAATATAGTATAAATATATATGTTATATCGTGAGAACATGTCCCATTTAAATATGTACTGAAAAGCACAATTAAAAATTAATGTGAAGCATTCTAAAAAGCAGATACAATATAATTGATGCTCAACCTAGAAATACAATAAAGGTCTCGTTTGAAATATAAAAACACAGACATTCTTTACTATGTTAAATTACAAAGTAATATTTGAAATACCTATTTTAAAAAGAACCCCATGCTTTCCATATCTTATGTTACAGATATAGAACCAAGCCGTCGCTGGAGAAGACTCTGTAATTGGGGCTTACTAGGAGCTGAAACAAAAGGCTCCTCTGCAATTATTTCCGCTCCTGCCACATCATTTAAGGGACTGAAGGAATCATAAGGAAGCCAAGGTAAAAGTTTGAAAGATATCAATACCTAACTAGCATCCATGTGCTATCAAGCCCAATTTAACAATTTCCATATATTGCAAGAAAGGGACAACAGTATCAACCAAAAGCAGTCAAGCCAAAGCCCTGATTAAGCAATTTATGGCTGTCATTGCACCAATCAGCAAAGCTGTCTAGTTCTGGATGCAAATAAGGCTTTACTTACAGTTCATTTAATGACTGTTCAGTTACAACAGTACTGAAAATAGTAACTTTTGACCACTTTTCACACTTATGACCATTGCAGCACCCCAATGGTCATGTGCTTTACATTCAGATGTTGACAACAGACTCATATTTATGATGGCAGCAGAGCTCAGGAGTCATTTTACAACCATGTTACTAATTTAACAACTGAAGCAATTCACTTAACAAATGTGGCAAAAAAAAGTCATCAAATGGGACAGATTCACTTAATAAATTAAGAACATAAATTTTGGGCTCAATTGTGGTTTTATATTGAGGATCTGTATATATAATTGAGACCAATGTATACCTTAGTCAGAGACAGTTACGGTAGCTGCTGGTATATGAACTAAGAACATAAATATGTCAAAACAGTTAAGTGTTCTTTCTTTTGCATCTCACTTGCAGCATTTAACCGCAATATGTGATGCCTGTATTTATTTTACTATGTATTCTTCATTAATACAAATGCGCACACACGCACATATTAGAATATATTTTTTCATTTGTTTAGGATTTGGGGGGGAGAGGGGTTAAAATACTTCCAGAATATTAACTATCTCTTTTGGGAGTTGTGGCAAGAAAAGTTGTAAAATGGGACAAAACTCATGATACGATTCTCACTCAAAAACGTAAATTTTGCGCTCAGTTGTGGTCCTAAGGACTACATGCATGGGCTGGGACCGATGGGAATTGGAGTCCAGAATCTGAAATGCTACAGGTGCTACATCCGGGCTGTGCCTTTCCATCTCCCTGTACTCTCTCCTCAGCCAACCGCCCTGCCTTTTCCTACAGGACTTTGACCAGGCAACGCCTCGCGTCCCTTTCCCTCATATCCAGAGGCTGGTGCCGTTCCTTTTCTCCCCCGCCCCGCCTGCTTCGTTCGGTGGCGGGGTAGGGGTGGGAGAGTCCGCGCCTTATTCCTCCTCGGCGTCTTCGAAGGACAACGAGCAGCCCAGGCCGCGGGGCCAACGGACAGGGCAGACCAGGCCCACGCGCGACTGACGCATTCCTCCCTCCCTCCCTCCCTCCCTCCCGCGCCCGAGGGCAGGCACGCGGGATAACTTACCTGTGAGGTAGTCCCGAAGGTGCTTTTTTTCCCCCCCCACCCGAGACAACTAACCAGACTTCCTGGTTTTTTTTTTCCCCCTTTGAATACGTTTTGCTTCTCCTCCAAGAAGCTTCTTCAGCTCAAGAAGAAGCTGAAGAAGCTTCTTGAAGGAGAAGCGAAACGTCTTCAAAAGAAAAACCAGTCCGGCTTTAGTTGCCACTTGGGAAGAAGAAGAAGAAGAAGAAAACGCACCTTCGGGACAACCTCGACCTGGATAACTTGAAGAACCTCCCTAGATATCTATACCTGTGAGGTAATTCGTCCACTTGTACAAGACGCCTTCCATCGTTCAGAAGAGCCGCCGCGCCTGGCGCACCATCCTGCTCGGCCGCCTCCTCCTTCGAGAGCGGCGCCGGCAAGGACAGCCCTCCTCGCGCCCCGCAGCCTTCCAAAACACCGGCGGCGACAACAGAGCAGAAAGAGGAGGAGGAGGAGGAGGAGGCGGAATCCGCGATGGGCATGGAGGGCTGAGAGGCTTAGCTCGAAAGGCAGCCTCCGCCGCCGCCGTCACCGCCTTTGGGACCCAAGGCTGCTGTGAGAGACGCGGCTGCCCAGGCGGTTTTGAAGTCACTCATTGCCCGTCTCTGAGGAAACAAAACAATGAACGACGTCTCTCCCCGGGGCTCGGCTCGCCTGCCTCCTCGGTCGGTCCACTTGCTCGCTCGCTCGCTAGCCTTCGCCTTTCCCTCCCCCTTTCCCGGACCTCTGCGTTTGGTGCCATCGACCCTGACGTCCCATGTACTTCCTGGATGCAGGAAGAAGAGGTTGCTGGTAGAGAGAGAAAGAGACCCTACACGCATGCTCGCATCGTTGCGGAACTGCGAAGAATATCGTCGCCTTCCATTTGCAACTCTTCCCCTCCAGGAACGAGGATGGGAGATTCTGCACAACGTACACCCGGGCTTCCACCTTATACATATCGATGTAAACTCTTTTAAGTGCATTTGTTTCTTTTGCTACCTAATTCTCTTTTCCCTATGGGATAAGTCTTGCTACTTCCAGTCCTGCTGGATAGCATCGTTGGCCGAAGGCATCGATGCTGATGTTATGCTAATATGTTGAGCTAATTTCTTAACGTATCGTGTTTTTTTGTTTATTTGTTTGCAGTCACACACACAAAACGATGGCCATTCAAAATGGCTTGTCCTTGGTGTTGGCGGAGTCATTAGATATTGCAATGCTGAATATATGTATACTGAAGTGTCTGTGGAGATTCGCAGCCATCCAGGTCATGGTTGTCCCAGCGGTGCTTTTTTAAGAGGCAAAGTGGACTCTCTGGGTTTTCTTTGAAGACGAAGCTCAGAGCTGAAGAAGCTTCTGAGAAGCGAGACGTCTTCAAAGAAAAACCAGGAAGTCCACTTTGCCTTTTGAAAAAGCACCTTTGGAACAGGTGTCCTGGAGGGAAACAAAAAGTGATTATTCCTCCTTCACTTGCCTATGGAGAACAGGGCTATGGTAAAATATGACTAAATATGAACATATTTTTATTGCATGATTTGGCAATAAATCTGCCTGCTCACCTTATGGTATAAATAAAGCCGTTCAAGAAAACAGTGGGGTGGGGGAAGAGAAGGCTAAGAGGCAACTCTTCCAAAGTATGATCGGTGCTTCACCTTTCACCGCCTCCGCGGAAAAAGAAATCGCACCCACGAGGCAGGCAAGAGACTACAACCCGTCTCATCCTTTCCAGGTGTAATAAACCGCCCTCCCTCGCTTTAAATGAACGAGAAAACGCCCTAAAAAGTCCAAAGGCCCCATCCTTTCTCTAGTCTAGAAAAAGGGGGCGGGGGGGGGGGGCAAAGAAACAAGCGCAAGGCACACCTACGCCTTTTACGCACCCGCCGGAACAGGGCAAAACAGCGAAGGGGCCTTTGCGTAGGAGCCTTGGCCACGCCCCTCTCGGCTCCCGTGACGTCGAACAATGCTACTGTAGTGCCACGCAGCCAGACGACCAGATTTGCAACTATGGCTTTCCGTGCGGGACTTTGCTTTCTGCTGCAGGCGTTTGCTCTCCTCCTCCTTCCGTCCTACGGGCAGAAGGCAGAGGGTCCCCCTGCAGAAGATGTCCAGATAGAAATCTTGCACGTCCCCGAAGTCTGCGAGCCCAAGAGCAAAAAGGGCGATCTACTCAATGCCCATTATGACGGTTTCGTAGGTAGTAACAAGACCAAGTTTTATTGCAGGTAAGTTTGTGGTGGTGCATTCTCTTTTGAACTCTCACCTCTCTCAGCTTCCTTTAGATGATAAAATGACGCTTTGGCTGATCTTCTGGCAGTGTCACAGTTTGGTTACTATCCCAAAGTTTCGTTACTCAGTTGCATAGATGTACTCGAAGACAGTTGTAGTAATATTTAGTTCAGCTGCTTTCCAAAGGTTTATGCCCCAAGTACTGCAGCTTCAAATGGTAACAGATCCTTTCTTGATCAATGGAAGATGCAGATGTTCTCAGCATACTTTGATAAAAACCTATATTGCCCTGTATGCATATCTTCTACATCACCTAACAAAAGAAATTAATTACCTTACCTATTAGAAACATCTGTAAACCAACATACAAGCCCAGGGAACACTAAAACCTTGATTGACTTGTGTACTATATATGCCAAAAGATTGCCAACTCTCTTGACTTAATGTGATTTGGTGCTACCTAGATTAGGAATAGTATGGTTTTCAACTGGCATCACCAGCAGATGCTTGCCTTTAATTACAAAAAGCATGTACATGAAATATGCTAGAATAGATAGATCCCTTTCTTCTGCTTTTGATGCACTTTCATCAGACTGGGGAAACTATTGGTGGATCCTTCCTAAGGTATCTTATTGTATCTTCATTTGCTTCAAGTGACCTCAGTAATACTGAGGATCTCTGCCATTAACAGAGATTTAAGTTGATTTTTAATAATTAAGGCCCTATCTGTAATGAAGGTTACATGAAGTGTAAGTAGTAACAAGATTTTGAGTATGCAAGTGAAACAGGAAAGCCTCTTGCATTATTGGGTCCACATGTAAAAAGTAGCACTGATGATATTACGCTAATATGTTGAGCTAATTCCTTAAAGTATACCGTTTCTTTTCTTTGCAGTCGCACACAAAACGATGGCCATCCAAAATGGTTTGTCCTTGGTGTTGGCCAAGTCATTAAAGGCTTAGATATTGCAATGATGAATATGTGTCCCGGAGAGAAACGAAAAGTGATTATTCCTCCTTCACTTGCCTATGGAGAAAAGGGCTATGGTAAAATATGATTAAATATGAATACCTTTCCTTTTTATTGCATCATTTGGCATTCAGACCAAAGAAGATTATTGATATGCCAGAGCATATCATTTTTACATACCAGTAACACAACTTTTCCTCTTTTTTTTCATCAGCATTTTTTTCTGTAAATGTTACTTATCCATCAGCAATTATGGAGTGATAGTGACACTGAGGAATGGCTGCTTACTCTCAGGTTCTTTGCATTGTCATTTAACGTTATATATATATTATTTAGTAATGTTATTGGTTGCAAAATGTAAAAGACCCAGAGTGCAATATATTTACCCAGAATGAGCCAAAGGACCTGGCAGCCTAAAATAACAAGGGGAGAAAGAAAGGAAGATAACTGTCCTTAGGGCACATTTTCTTCTAAATTGGAGAGGCCACTGTGAGTCAGACTCTCTTAAAACCAGTAATAACTTCATTTGCAATAGCCATGTCACTGCATTGTGATCCTTCAAGAGATATTATGTAAGAACGCATGAGCATTGTTGGAAACTAATGATGATTCTTTTTTCAGGCAGCAAATGAAGAAAGTATTTTTCCACCCCCACCCCCCCAACCTACAATCTGCTTGTTCTCTATCAGAGCATACTCCTGCATGCTGGGCAAAGATGGCCTAGTTAAGAATGTCAAGAATGCATGTGGCTTTTTGCTTCTTTCCAGGGTATTCCTGTGGTATGTATTGCTCTTGGACTTGCTAGTGACTGAATTCTTTTATTAGGCTTTGCCACTAAATCTTGAAATGGAAGGGAGGGAAAATATAAGTAGTTTATGTGGCTGCTGCATGTGGTTTTAAAAAAAATGACAAGATAATGATCATTGAAATCCCCCAATTTTGTGAAATTGTCCTCAACTAGTATATAACAGGACCCACATGCACAACTCTCTAAAGGTTCAGTTCAACTACCTCAAATACTTGTTGCTTATATTGGTGTTCTTCTTTCATAATTGGCCAACCTGATGTATTGTGGGTAAGGTTCAGATTTGTAGAGTGCTCAATGGGCAGCGGTGTAGCTGTGACAGGCCTAAATGGCACTCACAATTTAAGCATCTATGCATTCAGTCTTTAGTGAGATTGTCACAAGATGTGGCTATTTCTAAATGCACATGAAATTTTTGCCAATCTACATTTAAACATAAAGGGAATTGTGTTATTCTCTGTTTATTCACAGTGAATTCTTCACATGACTTTTTATTTCAAAACTGTTTATGATGAAGAACATATTTTAATTTTTAGTTTTCAGAGCTATATATAGGGTCTCCAGAATAAATTCTCAGGTTAAGGAATGTCAAATCTAATCCCTGTGACCCAACTTTTATACAATTCTTAGTTGTATAAGCAACGCCTGCTACATTTCAGGCAAAAGTGTTTCCTAGCCCTAGAAAAGGAACCAAGCCATTTTGAATTTAGACACTTTGAATGAGTTCCCCCCTACGAAGAAGGGGACTAGCTCCTTCCTCTAATGACTAATTGCACGTGCATGGCTTGTGAATCTAATTCTGGAAACTCCCTCAATAATAGTGTTAGTGTTATTCATGTTTTATTTCTGCGAACCTGCTAAATCTTACATATCCCATTTTGATGCCCATCTTCCTTTTCTGAGGTCCTTTTGTCTTTCTTGAAATGTTAATGTTTTCTTGCTGAAACCTGTCTCCCATATTCCTAAAACTCCACAAGGATGAAGTTAGTTTCTGATTTGCCAGTGCTATTTGGTGCAGACATAGACCTCATGTCATAGTCAAAGCAGTGAGTGCACCACCAAGCATCCAGTCCTGCCATTTACTGTCCTCCATTGGCACTACCAAAGGCTTCAGGATGAAGACTGTGCGCTGGGTCCTGTTCATTGACATTGTGTGTTTGATGATGGAGGATTGAGTGGTTCCACAAAGTGGTTCCACAAAGCACTTCCCTTGATGTAAAATTCATCAGTACCACATTGCTAAAGAGATGTAGATGTATGGTGGTCTGTGGTTAAAATGGTCAGACATCAGTATGTGCATTTCCTATAACTTTCCTGTTACATTCTTAGAACCAGCAAAGATTCCACCCAATGCAACACTGATCTTCGAAATTGAATTGTATGCAGTAACTAAAGGACCACGAAGTGTTGAAACATTTTCTCAAATAGACCTGGATAGTGACAAAAAGCTTTCAAAGGAAGAGGTATGAAGAATACTGTTCTAAGTCATTTAATTAAAGCATTTCATTAGTTTTACAGAATCAATTATTGAAGTATTGTGGAATAAATGTATGAACCACTCTCTTTTTATAATAACTTTTTCTAATTTATTTATTTTTGTTATTCTTTTCATAGAAAGGGATGCCTGGATCATCACTAGTTCAATTAGTTTGTTCACTTTTGATGTCTGTTATAATAGAGTAGAAAATGCTAATTCTCATCAGTCCTCCAAGGTTGCTTGAATTAGGTGTTGCTTTAAAGCTGGGTAGACAAGTTGTTACTCTGGATATCAGTTCCCAACTTTCATTATTAGTCATGATGACTAAATCAGAGTTCAACAATTTCTGGAAGGTTGTATATTGTCCATCCCTGTCTTAAACCCCCTATCTGGAACTCAGGTTCAACTCCTAGACTCTTTGACATTAGCCATTCTTTGGGGGAACAGAAAAGTAAAAGCTGTTTGCTTCTTGAATTGTGCTCCCCAACAGTGTCTCTTTCAAATGAGGAGACCTATAACCAATTCCTGCCAGAGAGGAAAGACAATGTGGGAAGATAGTGAGCAGGGGAACAAGGAGTATACAGATAGTTTCCAATTTATGACTGGTCACTTAATGACCATCCGAAATTACGATGGCCAGAATGGCTACTTTATGATGTATAAACTATAAAGCACTCCTGACCAGAGGTGGTATTCAGCAGGTTCTGACTAATTCTGGAGAACTGGTAGCGGAAATTTTGAGTAGTTCAGAGAACCGGCAAATACCACCTCTGCCTGGAGATTTTACTGTATGCCACGCCCACAGAACTGGTAGTAAGTCACTTGAACAAATTTCAGCTCACTTTTACAACTGGTTACACCAGGGGTCTTCGAACTTGACAGCTTTAAGACTTGTGAACTTCAACTCCCAGAATTCTTCCTCCAGTCATGTTAGCTCAGGAATTCTGGGAGTTGAAGTCCACAAGTCTTAAACTTGCCAAATTTGAAGACCCTTGGGTTACACAGTCCCACAATCTCCTGACTGAAATTTGCCACACTTTTAGCAGATTTCAGTCAAATACACCCATTTACAATTGCAGCATTTTCTTAATGACCATGGATTCACTTAATAACTGGTTGATTCACTTAATGATCTCTGCAACCTGTTATAAAATCAGTTCCGGATATGTGCATGTCTCAACTTAATGATCATAAGGACTTATCCAGTCCCAATTGCAGTAATAAGTTAAGGATTATCTAAATTGTTGCATTTATGGCAAAACCCAAGCAATTCTCTTCCTGTCCCTGCCTTGTTCAGCTTTGCCAGAAAATATAATCAGACCAGTGAATCTCTCTCTCAGATGAGTTAGTTTACCTGAGACTCTTTTTGCTTTCCTGGTAGAAGAATCTGTTTTGCTTCCTCTTTAACAGTGACATTTCTTGGATTTATCCTTTATGCAAAACAAGCAGTTTGGAAAAATCCTCCTTGATTATAAGTTGCTGGTGGTTTGTATTAATGATCACTGCCAGCAAAATGGAACCTTCTGGAAGAACAGATTCTACCAAAATCAACCCCTTGCTCTAGCCCTGCTCTGTTTCCTAAAAATATTTTCCAGAGGATTAAAGGTGCAAGTGTGAAGTCAGCAAGTAAAACTTTTGTTTTGTAAGTTATATTTTAAAATATTCTAATGCTTGTCTTTGTATGTAGTATTTTGATTTTCAGTAGTTGATTGTCAGCCTATTGGGGTTCACATACAAGAGGGTTATTTATATGCTCCCCATCTTGCCATTTAAAGCGATTCTGGGTGGCTTACAATACAATAAAAATATAAATATAAAACAATTATAAATATAAGAGCAAGTTATTATTGTTAGGAATATGTGAGGAATTATTGTTTTTAATTCCTTTAGATAAACCATTATTTGAAGGAAGAATTTGAAAGAGATGGCAAAAAACGGGATTCTTCTGTTCAAAATAGTATTTTGGTAGATATATTTAAAAAGAATGACCATGATGGTGATGGCTTCATATCTGCCAAAGAATACAATGTCTACCAGCATGATGAACTATAAAAACATATTATTCAAATGTTACTTTATGGACTTGGGTGATCTTGCAGTTTTCATGGGTCATGGAGCATGGAGTTCCGCAGACATCACAACTGGATGACTTGGTTATACTCACTCCTCTTCCTAAACAAGTCTTGGTAGATTGGTTTCGCTAGGATTTATCCACAGCAAAATATAGCCACATTTTAAAGTCTTTTTGTGTGTGTTACATACCAGTTGATGTACATTTCACTGTGGTAATTTTTATACTTTTGTATTGAGATTAAACTTCGTTTCAATTATGGTCCTATACACTGCAGCAAAAATAAAATCTGAAAATAATTGGTATACTTCCTGAACTAAAGAGAAGACTCATAAAGTATGCAAGAATTTCTAGGATATATATCTCTGGAGCTAACATTCCCCAATAAATAAATATTTCCAAATCTAAGTACATGCTGTGACATTTTTAGATTTTAAAAAAATCTATTTTAAGATTTTAACTCAAAAGTGTACATATCTTCACTATGTAGATCAAAGGAAATCCAAGAATATAAATTTTGGAAAGCAGTTTTATTAAATTATTCTAATTGATATTTATTTATTTTTATATTTATTTTTATAACTAGAAAAATCACTTTTAAAACCATAGATGCAAATAAGAGACTTTGTGGTTCTGTCTTTTTGCAGTCAAAATTCACAAAGCTTGATGGCACAATCAAACCTAGTTCAGATACCAAATTGGACCCAGAATAAGTTAGTTGCATTTAAATTTCACTGAAATCAAAATGAAAAGATAGCTGTGACTTAGCTAGTTCCATTGGTTTTACAGGGAACAAAGTACAATTAACTTTGGAGCCAGCCCTTAAACATTTATCAGAACTCTACTTCATTCTTTTGTGCCAGAGATCAAAACAAGGCACGGCATGAAGTCGCACAAATTTTTGTCCATTAAAAGAACATTCAAGGCAACCATAAACCGTTTCCCTTCTGGAATTCCCCATACCGCATAAAGAACAACGACCTTTAGGAATGTGGTTATTAAGCAAATTAACTCGTACGTGGGCTCCTTCTCTGAAATAGTTTGTTGAAATGTCAGTCATGCTTGCTGTTTTTTCATAATAATCTGCAAAAAGGTCATCTAAATAATTATCTGAATGGACAATGATATCCATCACCCTTTTATCTGTAAGAAAGCAGACAGGCACAAAGAAGAAAGATTACTAAATTCAAGTGGCACATTACATGGGTTACACAATAAAATAGCTGCAAAAGATACTTCAATTTAGAGACTGCATTAATCATTATGTAATCTGTCAGTATTATTCCACGCTCACTATTAATAGAATAATTTTAGTTGCTTAATAGTGCCATTATGACATCTCAAATGTAATCAATAATTTTTACTTTTTTTTTCTATCATGAACACAGATGGGAACAAAAATATACATATGTGTCACTTAAACATTAATTTTAGTTACTAGGAATTCTTAGAATTTGTGCATCAAGATAATCTGAAGGTGGGTTCATTTTGTTCTATGAATACTTAACATAAACTATGATTCCTCTAGATATACAATAACAGAAATTAAACTTGCCACTTTTTTACAGAATGGAAAATATAAAGGGAAGAGTTGTATCATATTTAACCTTCACGTCTTCAAAGCAGCTAACTGCACTCTGGCTAATATTTTAACTGGGGATTTTCATTTTATACATTTTATGCTGCTTCATTAGGTCAGGGATCGAATATATGTAAAATTTCTTCAATGATTATATCCTCTTAATCTGGATCAGAGAACTGATTGCAGGAAATTGGGAATATCTGGATTACAGTACATTAAACTTTAAATACCATAATATAGCTATAATATTTTGTTGCTGAACATTGAAAGATGTCTCCCTAATATAGAATTTAACATGAAGTAAACTCAATTATGTTAATTAAAATATATGCACTGTGCTTATTTTGAAATCTAATTATTTTACTTGGTTCCATAATAGTCTTCCTGTTATTGTTCTGATTAAAAAAAAAACTATTCTCAGAATAGTTGGAAATGTAAACAAAAGCAAGGAACATATTATCATATGTGGTGGACATGCCCAGTAGCAAAAAAAATATTGGATGATAAGAAAATGGATAGAGGAAATAACTAAGCAACAAATAGAGTTAAAACCAGAGATATTCTTACTAGGTATAATAACAGGAAAATATGACAAAAAAACACAATATCTAATGCAACATTTAATAACAGTGGCTAGAATAGTTTATGCGCAAAACTGGAAAAATGATATTATGCCCTTGGAAGAAAGTGTGCTAAAGAAAGTATTAAAGTGTGCCGAGATGGACAGGTTGACAATGAAATAAAAGAGAAGAAACTGAATATTATTTGATTTGGAATGCATGGTATAATTGGCTAAATAGCAGATATAAAGATAAATAAATATGAAATATTATAGTATAACGATAAGAAATATATATGGTAGATATTATAGTGAAACAAAATATATAAAGGAGTATAAAAATGTACATTTAGTTAAAATCTATGTAAAAAGTATATATATTGATACCGAAGCGTTGCAATGAATGGAAACTGGTAAAATAAGGAACTTTAATAAAAAATTATTTTAAAAAACTATTCTCACTGCTATTAAAGGCTGATAACATCTTTAAATTAATCAAAGAAATGTAAATAAATATTAAACATCATACTTCGACGAAACAGATTTTTTCTTAATTTAGTCAACGAAAATGATCTTGATGGTTCTTTTTCAAATCCTCCTTTTGATTCTGGAGCAACACAAAGTTCTGGGAGAAAAAGTATTTGAAATAGTGTTACTCAAATGTATCAAAAAATTAATGAGAATAAAGACAACGAATAAAGACATTTCATTTGTTTTATAACCAAGATATTACAGATAAGGTAAAAGTACTGAATTATTAGGAAATGATACAATAGCTATAGGAAGGGTGATTCAGCAATGGACATTTGGACTTGGAAGCAGATTTCTTTGCTAGACCAGATACCCCAAGGGGTTTCTAATAATTTATATAAAGGAAGTCTGATAAACTTACATGATAATGAATACAAATCTACATTCTTTTGAATACAGTGCGGATATTGTGTCCCATCTTTTCTTTTCACCTCTTTTGATCTTTTCATTTTAAACTCTCTCAACTTTGGCAGCTTGAAGATTTGTGGACTTCCAGTTCCCAGAATTCCTCAGCCAGCATACTGGCTGAGAAATCCTCTGAGGTGAAGTCCACACATCTTCAATCTACCACTGTGGAGAAATAATGTTCTAAGCCAGGGGTGTCAAACTCACGTCATCATGGCAGCGTCACGTGACGTATCGGGACTTTTTTTCCCTTCGCTAAACGGGGGGGGGCAACACATGATACATCCAGGCCACAAGTTTGACACCCCTGTTCTAAGCAATGCAACAATTCTCCCCTTAGAATCCAGATAAAGCTGCTGGAATGAAAAACATGTACTGAAGATAAAATAATGGCAATCATTCTTTTTTCAAATTTAGATAGCTTCGAATCAAAAGAGAGGAGAATGGGGACAGTACAATTGACTCCAGGGTGCAGATTTCTCTCCCCAATGTACAGAAAATGGTTTTGCTCTGTGGCACCATGTGTTGTTGTTTTTTTCCTTTTGGACTGCTCAGTATTTGAATTTGTCTGAGTAAAATACAAGGAAATATTAAAAATATATCTTTTTAGCCTCTAGTACTATGCTAAAAACAATAGATAAAGAATCCCAGAGGAAACCAGACACAAGAATGAAAAAAAAAAAAACAATGTAGAGAATTTGAATGTATCCAGCCAGAAAAGAGAATGATACAAAAATCTCTTAAGCATCAGATTTTACAAGTATCTCAATTTGAACATTCCTGCTTGATAACATGATTTCCTATTGCTACCTGCCAACAGTAGTAACTAAGTAGTGGCTGCAACGTAATGTCCCTTGTTCATTCCACCCACACTGCACTTATTTGCTTTGGGGTATGGCTTGGGAAAGGAGCAGAATATGCAGAAGGAACAACGAATCCAATCCCTCATTGCTGATAGATGACAGTAACTGGAGACGTGATGTTTTTCAGCCAGACTACAGATTCCGTTAGTAGTGCAACCATCAGTTTGATATATTGTATCAGAGCACTACTTAATACCCCATTAGCTAAGTAACTGTTAGATAACTATTGAACTGGGCGGCAATAGATAAATAGCAAACATGGAGTTTTCATATGAATATTACATGAATTTGTTGCTCAACCTGGACTCAAACTGTTAAGGACAATAGCATTTCTTTTAGGTTAATCACCTTAATTTGTATGTTGTTTTATTTTTATCAGTTTAACTGGTAAGCTATCTAGCCCATCTTATTACTGGGCAGTATTACAGTCTCTATCATGAATCTAATAAAATGAAGCTTGCATTTCTTTTAGAACAAAATAATGTTACTAGCTAGCTCTCCTCTACTTTGCAATTCATTCTCTGTTGCTGTTTTCAAACAGCTTTCTTGCTATGCCAAACTCTAGTTTAGCTGGGGGAAAAAAATACAGACAAGGAGGAAGAAGCAATGATCAGATGAACAGAAGGCATAGAAGAGTTTACTTTCCCTCACCTATGTACCCTTTTTATATAAAAGTCACCTTTATTTCATAAAAGCAAGAAACTTAATTGTCTCCGACTAAATTGAAATTATTGATAAATGTTTCTGCATGTCATATTGCAGCTATGGAACTATGCAAAATAAGATTATCAGGTTGTATCTTACATTTATATTGTGAGGTAAAAAATGGTATAAAACAGAATATTCAGCCTTAGTCTCTGAAAAAGAATAACCTGGATCATACTAGCAATCGAGAGTACAGGCCAAATATTACTTACCAAAATTACCATCCAGGCGAATATAAAGCTCAAATATGCTAAATGCAATTGTTGTATGTGCAGGAAAGACAATTGCTTTGTCACACCCTTTATAATTATGTTCATCGATAATATGAAACTAATTGGAAAAGAAACATTGCATTAATATTTCTCTCAAAATGATAGGATCTGAATAATATAGTACAATATAAGTTCTAGAAAGGAAAGTATATTTTCCAGTAAAACTCTTTTTCAAGGGAAATAGAATCATCCTTGTCACCATTATCTAAAATTCTAATAAACCAAGGACAAATGACAAATAATCCAATGAATATAGCATGATTAAAATGTCTAAAGCACAAATCAGGTAAATCTGATCAACTGTTTGTACTCAGATTGAACCCTAGTAATCCCTGGGTTCAATTTCAAATTTGTGACACATTCATGGGCACAACTCAAAGAAGCACTTGCTTAAGGAATGGGTCAGAAAGAGAAGTGACAAAGACTGTTCTTGAAGGCAAGGGAATCACGTGCATGCATCAAAATCTCCTTCAAAGCATATAAATGAATTTCAATGATTCGCTTAACTGGATAAATTTGCATTGATTTCAGAGCCTGAAGATCTTAAGTGGATTAACAGGCAAGCAAACAATTTTTGTGTACATAGAACAGAGGTGGGGAACTATGGCCCCTTTATGACTTATAGACTTCAACTCCCAGAATTCCTGAGCCATCATGGCTTGCTCAGAAATTCTGCGAGTTGAAGTCTACAAAAGGGCCATAATTCCCCACCCCTAATATGGATTGACTAGATCAACTATACACTTTTGGGTAAATGGCAACATTTCATCATTCTTTATTTCTACTAAAAGAGCAGTTAAATTAGAGTTGATTTAGCTGGAGGTTTTTTTTTCTGTAAATCTTATTTAAATGATTATTAAAATGATGACTTTGTAATAAATCAATACAGAATGATGCACTTGCCTTTGGGAGGATGTCAAAAAAAAGTGAAGATGCTATGCCCAACCATGTGATCAAAGCTATGACCATTTTCACCTGCCTGCAACATGCACAACACATTAAAAAGGGGGTGGGTGGAACTTAAATCACATGATTGAGATCATCATCTTGATTATTTTGATTCTCCTCATGGATGCCTATTTAAAGCCAAAGTATTCAATATACGCGAGCGATTTTGAAATGCATGCTCACTTACTCTCATTGTGTCACCTCTCATACCAGCATGAACAGAGAGAGAACACTGTCGAGTTGTTCGAATACTCTCCATTACCATACAGAGAACCGTTCTACTACTCTCTCGTGACTGACGGACAAGGCAGTGTTCGAAATCCACTTTTCTAAAATCACAAAGAAATAATTCTCAGAGTCCTGCATTATTCCTTTTATAATATCTCAAGTCTCACTTATTGGATTTGGGTAATATTCGTAGTTCTCAAAACTCATGCAGAGAGTGTAGGCATAAAGTAAGCAAAACCATCAAGGTAATAAAAAAAACGTTCATACCAACCTATTAGTTAATTCTTTGAGCAAAGTCGGTACCTCAACCTCATGCTTAGTTACAATACCAAAAGAAGCCTTCACTGCAAGGGAATCTGACCCAGCAGTACTGACCCCAGAAGAGTTCATGATGTGATTTCCTTGCTTGCCATTAAGGGCTACATCAGATTTGTCTTCATAATTTAGTAATTGATAAGATGAAATACCTAAGGGGAAAGATGGCTTATTGGTGTCTTTAAAAACATCATATTCGTCTATATTAAGAGATAATAGACTTAGTGAACAAATAAAACCAACCTTGGAATCTCCAGATGAACTCCAGATTATATTATCCTAGAAAAGGTTTACTTGTTTTTTCTTTTTCTGAACACACTCACACACACACACACACACAAAATGAAGGTTCCAATATATTTATCTCATTCCTTTTCAGAGCGTTCTCTTCGCTGATGATGTAAAGCTGTTCAATACCACAGACAATACTGCTACCCTACAAAAAGATCTTGACTATGTATCAGAATGGTCAAACAAATGGCAACTTCAAATCTCAACAAATAAATGCTCTGTCTTACATATTGGCAAAAAAAATCAGAAAATAAAATACAAGCTGAATAGTCAAGATCTTGTTGATGACCCAAGCTCTGTAAAGGACCTTGGAATACTCACCTCTAATGATCTAAGTGCTAGAGCCCACTGCAACTACATAGCCAAAAAGGCATTAAGAGTTGTTAACCTAATCCTACGTAGCTTTTTCTCTGGTAATATCACACTACTAACCAGAGCATACAAAACATTTGCTAGACCAATACTCGAATACAGTTCATCAGTCTGGAACCCACATTACGTATCTGATATTAGTACAATTGAGAAAGTCCAGAAATATTTCACAAGAAGAGTTCTCCACTCCTCTACTCGTTGTAGAATACCTTATGCCACCAGACTTGAAATTCTAGAACTAGAAAACCTTGAATTACGCCGTCTTCGGTCTGACTTAAACATGGTATATAAAATCATACATTGCAATGTCCTACCTGTCAATGAATACTTCAGCTTCAACCATAACAACACAAGAGCACACAATAGATACAAACTCAAAGTTAACCGCACCAAACTTGATTGCAGGAAATACGACTTCAGCAATAGAGTGGTCAATGTCTGGAATACTCTACCCGACTCTGTAGTTTCTTCCCCAAACCCCAAAAACTTTAACCTTAGACTGTCTACTATTGACCTCACCCCTTTCCTAAGAGGTCTGTAGGGGGCGTGCATAAGCGCACCAACGTGCCTACCGTCCCTGTCCTATTGTTTCTCTTATTCTTTTATTTTTCTTATATGTACCCATTTCATGTATTCACAACTATGTATACACTTATACTTATAAACAATCGGCAAATCAAATAAATAAATAAATAAATAAATATGCTTTGCCATGGTATGCAAAATATGTCATTTCTTATGACACGAAGGTTTTTCACTGTCATCATCCCAAACTGCAAGCAACAACAGTCCTTCTCTATAGAATCAAATAAGATTTCATGATATGGCAGGTTAAAATGTTTGTATATGAATCACAGAATGCGTACAGAGAGAAAAGGTTTTGGATGCCATCCAGACTCAGCTAAGGTATACTTCCTTTTTGCTTTAATTGCAGTGGCATCAAGTCGTAACCAATTTCAGGTGAGCCCTATGGATTACTAAAAACTTTCTACAAGATTGTGAGTATGTGTGATCTGAGGTTAACCTTAGGTTTTTGTCTGTATCTTAGACTCGGGCTAAACTACCGTATTTTTCAGAGTATAAGACATACTTTTTCCACCCCAAAAGTGGGTGGAAATGTCTGTGCATCTTATACAGTGAATATTGCCAAAGCCCTACCCACCCTCCAACCCCCACCCTTCGGCTTCTGCCTCCCAGCAATTTGCCTCCTTGCGGCAAACAGCAAACAGCCTGGTCAGCTTCAACACAGCCTGATTAGCACAAGCAGCTGATTGTCAGTTGAATCGGCCTCCTAACGATCAGTTGTTTCAGCTGCAGGGATCACCATCGCCTATTGCCACTTCCGCATGCCCCATTTTCGGCCTTCACGCGGCCCATTTTCCACCCATTCTGATCCCTTTTGCCTGGAACAGACCAAAAATGGGGTGTGCGGAGGCTGAAAATGGGATGCATAGCTGAAAATGGAGTGCACGGACGCAGCAATAGGCGATGGCGATCCCTGCAGCCTGAAGCAGCTGATCGTTGGGAGGCCGATCGATGTGGCCCTTTAACACTCTGCATCCTGGGACTCTGTGCTTGCTTCACATAGCTGTGCTCTGAATACCTTCTGCTTGTATAATAAATGTTATTAGCAGGATGTCGCTGTAGGAGATGGTGAAGTGTGCTCTCTTCTAGTAGCTTTACGAAGATATGAAAAATGCATTTCTGGCAAACTAAAAGCCTTTCCCTATCATTTATTTTCAGACCAAATTAAAACTTTAAAAAGCTGGGCAGCTAACATATAAGGAAGAAACAGTGTTACAGGGAAATAGCACTATAATACGGCCGAATTAAGTTATGAAAGAAAAGAAATGTCACATTTCATTGGAGTTATAATAAAATGTATGAACTTGTGTAATTAAATATCAATGGTGCAGTATTAAGGATATCAGTTATAAAGTAAATCCTATCGAATTCAGTTAGGCTTATGTCTAAACAAATATACTAAAATTCATATTGCAATCAGGTATTATATATTTATCCTATTACAGAGGTCACACAAAATGAATAAATGTTTTAATAACAAAAAGCAAATTCTTAAAATGTATTCCTCAATTTTCCAACCCTGTAATGAATGCACTACCAAAAAAACCTTTTAAAATAAATTCTTAATATCAAGTTATTTGAATTCCCCTCCCCCTTAACAATAACTTTGCCTTTCCCCAAGGCTGCTTTGCTTTCTATTTTGTTATTGTTGTTGTTGAGCAAATTATGTATAGTTTTATAAGCTTTGAAGGACTTCACAGGACTTACCTGCAGAAATTTCTTTCTCTCCTTGAAGAATGTCTTTTAGGCTGAATGGTGTTGATGTAAATTTTGACCTTTTAGAAAGAAAGCAGTTTTTCTTTTTGATAACAAGGCTGAGAGGTTGATATTTATCAGCCTCACTGAGGCTACGGACAGGAACTAATCGACCTCCATCACCAACCTGCTTCACAAAACTTTTAGTAGCAGCAGCAAACATATTATACATACTTTAAAATAATAAAACTCTTATCGAACTCTTGCAATTTCCAAACCATACAGCCATATTTAAAAATTGATCAGTGCAGGTGGAAAAACTCTACTTTGTCCTAAAGTTGATTATATCTGACCGAAAGGGAAGCATTGGCATTATTCTAGTCATCCTTTTCCAGTGTATACTCAAGAACTCCTTTTCATTGTCCAGGTAGAGTCAAAATAATTAATAATAAATTAACAAAGTAAACTGATAGGACACAGTTAGAACAATACTCTTCTGTAGTACCATTCTAGCTTCCACGCCACTTTCACACAACATAGAAAATCTGCTATTTTTAATGCATTTAATTTTTAAAATGAATGTTACTCTAACATATATCATGAATGGGATTTCCCCACCTCTAATCTCTGTGTTCTTTTCTACCATGACACTAACTCAACCCAAATTTACTTTGGTAGGGATTTTCAGTTTTAATGTGTATAATGTGGAAATCCCTGTACATCACAATTCAACAGAGGGGCCTCATTTTTAGAATTTTTATGAAACTCTGGATATTTTCTATCTGTATCCCACTCAGTTTTTCCCATCCTTTCTTCAACCTTTCTTTCAGATTTAAATATAACCGCCACACACAAAAATGACCAGCTTCCAAAATTATATCTTGCTTTATTTTCCATGTTAACCCAAGGATGCTTTTTCAGGAGGCAACTGGACTTCCTTGTTTTTCTTTGAAGACATTTCACTTCTCATCCGAGAAGCTTCTTCACAGCTCTGAATGGATGGTGGGGAATGGAAGGATTTATATTCCTTGCAGACAGCTGGTCATTTGTGTTCTATCGCCAGAACAAGATAGACTCGAGACCGGAGTTGAGTTCAGCTCTTTATTTAACTGTCAGTAACTTCAACTAAACTTGAGCTGCGGCAGCCTCTTTTATAGCGGCTGCTCGCGGCTCGCAACCAATGGCATCATTTTAAACCTCCCGCTGTTTAGGCGGCCAATCATAACATGTTGTTAAACATCAATCGCTAGGCGGTAGTGGTTGTCCAATTGGAACGTCGTATTACGAGTATGCAAATGTCTATATACAACAATTTGCATTCTTTTAGCTCAGGAATGTCAAACTCAAGGTCTGAGGGCCACATTAGATCCGGCCCATGGAGTTGCCCTGGAAACAGCAAAGGAAAGGTCCACGGTGCCTGGGCCCTGCCCAGGCCTACCAGGCACTAATCTACAACCCAGTGGCAGCCATCTGGGCCAGAAAGTGGTCAGCCTTAGATCCATGGTGGCCCCTCACCCCACCCCTGGAGTCCCTTGGGACTGTCCTCTCCTGCAGGTTGACTGCATTCTGCCCCTGTCTGCTCACTGTCTCCTATGCATATGGCCAGGGGGCAGGGCCAAGGCTGCTGGGCGGTCCTTCACTGGCTCCAGGGCAGCCCTGAGGTCGGATCCAAGATAGGGTGAAGGAACCAACATCGTCCGTAGCCCAGGTGCCCTGCTCGCTCGTGTGTGCAGGCCTTACTGTTTGAGTGCAGGAACAAAGCCTTCAACTGAGTGAGGCCACAGAGTCAGGCCCCTCTCACCTGCATCCAGCCTGCCAAAGCTGGCCGCGCTGGGGGTGGAATAAAAGCCCATTGTCCTGCGGATCCTACCTGCATGCAAATGGTGCATCTGCATGCAAATGGGATGCTTGGAAATGGAGCTATCTTTGCGGGCTGTGCCTCTGCTTTCTTCAGCTCAGATGGAGCCAGGGGACCCAAGATTCTGGTGGCAGCAGCGGGAGCTACCTGAGCAGCCATGATGCCCCCTCCTTAGCCAGCCAGCCCCACCTGACCTACTGCTTGCTTGGCTGGCCAGCTGGCTAGCACAAAGTCTCACTGCTCTTTTCCTCCTCCTCCTTGCTCAAGCAGCGGTGAGTTCTGAGGGACAACAGGGCCTCTGATTTCTCTTCTGATGTGGCTCATCAGGCTGGAATGCAGGTGCAAAGAGTGCCTCCTCACTCAGTTAAAGTCTTCATTCCTCCCTTGAAACAGTAAAACCATCGTGGAATCGGAATTGGCCGGGCTCAGGAACCAATGCTGAGAAATGAGAGACCCTGTTGTCCCTCAGAGTCCGCTGCTGCTTGAGCAGGGAGGAGGTTGAGGAAGATGAAAAGAAGAAGAGTGGTGAGTCTGAGTCAGCTGGCAGGCCAGGTGAGGAGTAGATCAGACAGGGCTGGCTGGCTGGGGAGGAGAAATCATGGCTGCTCAGGTGGCTCCCCCCTGCCACCAGCAGTTTGGGTGCCCTAGCTCCATCTGAGCTGAAGAAAGCGGAGGTGCAGCAGTGGCATTGGCCTCAAAGATAGCTCCATTTCCAAGTGTCCCATTTGCACGCAGACATGCCATTTGCATGCAGGCAGGGTCCACGGGACAAAGGTGTCTAACTCCTCCCCAAGCGTGATGAAGTCCGGCAGGCTGGATGAGGGTGTAAGGGGCCGGGCTCCACAGTGCCTCCTCGCTCAGTTGAAGGCCTTGTTCCTGCACTCAAGCAGTAAGACCAGCCAGTGGTGGGATTGGAATAACTTAACAACCGGTTTTCTGGCTGGGTAGGCATGGCCGATGGATCATGTGACTGGGTGGCTGACATCACTCATCACACCCAGCCCCACCTCCCAGTACTCGCCTCAAAGGCAGAGGTAGGATTCAATCAGTCGGGGCTAATCCCACCACTGGCTGCCCCTGCCCATTTTTCGGCTTGTTTTTGGCCGTTTTTAGGCCATTTCTGGCCATTTTCAGGCCGGGTTTTTTGACTGTTTTTTTTGGCTGTTTTGGAGCTGTTTTTTGGGTTGTTTTGGGGGCTGTTATGGGGGCAGTTTTGGGGCCATCTGAAAATAGCCCCAAAACAGTAAAAAAACAGGCCATAAAATGAGCAGGGGCAGGGGCAGCCAGTGATGGATTTGCCGGTTTGCCGAACTGTGCAGAACTTAACTACCAGTTCATATGAACTGGGTGGGCTCTGAGGCCTGCACACATGAGCAAGCAGCATGCCTGGGCCACAGACGGCGTTGTTTCCTGAGCCCTTCTGAAGCAACCTTCCCTGCTCCAACCACAGGGTGGGTAGTTGAAGCAACTCTGTCCATAGTGCATTTTAGTGGGCAGGTAGCATCCCTGCCATAGCGGCCGCGGGAGGAGCAGGAGACTGGCACCATAAATATTTTTCACGTTGAGAATCAAACTTTCTAGGTCCCTGATTCTCTACAAGAGAGGATGGGTGCCTGAACCTGTGTGGCACCCAGGAGCATCCATTCTCAGCATGAAAAGCATTTCCAAGCCAAGTCTCCCCTCCGTCCCTCCAAGGCAAAGAAACAGCAGCAGAGAGGAGACAAATATTTGCAACGTAAGTGAGTCCGGTGTGACAGGAAGGGTGGGAGAAGCATGAGGTACCTTAGTGGGTCAGGGAGGTCTTGAGGGCCTGCTCCATCACTAGCCCACCCCCCCCCATGGCTTTCCCAATCCTGAGATACCCCATGTGCACTTAACAAAAGGTACATTAGATTAGCATTAGCGAATGTGTGTATATTGGTATTCTTGAACTGTGAGTTCTTAGGAAAGTATCCCCTTCCTTGTGTGTTGCAAATAGCCATTTCCAGTGGAGAAAACAGGACAAAGCTAAGTGCAGGAAATATTTTCCTTTGCTATATTTCCAATTTGAATTGGACCATGGCAGGATTCCTGCAGGAGAGCCCATTTAAGGATTATGCATTAATAGAAAAGCAACTAACTTATTTAACTTATTGTTCCTTAATGCTAAAGCTGTTGCGCATAAAAAACAGAGGAGCTCTGATCAACTATCACAGCCACCATTTTGATAGTTTTGCTGTTCTGGAGGTCCCCCATGAAATGTAAGCATGGGATAAACTCAGCCTGGTTTGTTCTCAGTCTTTTAAGTGGCCACAAACTATTAGCAAAAGTGGCATTTGATCCCAAGGCAAGGAGACATTGAGAAATGTTTCCCCTTTTGTATTTGAGCATCCAAGAAGGGACAGGGTAGGAGAAAGGGACAGATGAAGAAAAAGAAGGAAAGTGGGGAAGAGGGGAAGAGAGCAAGGAAGGAAAAAGAAGGTAAGAGGGGAAGGAAAAAGGAAAATGAAGAGGGAAGAAAAAAGAATGGGAAGGAAGGAAGGAAGGGATCCCCCCCCCCCACAGGCATTCCCTGGCACGAGTGACATCGAGCTGGCCATGCCCCCCCAGCCCCCCCAAGGTCAATCACAACCCCAATGCGGCCCTTAACAAAATTAAGTTTGATATCCCTGATTTAGACTAGCATGTGGTGTTAATACAGGTAATCCTTGACTTGCAACCAAAATTGAGCTCAAAGTTTCCATTGCTAAGTGAGACAGTTAAGTGAATTTTGCCAGTTATGGTATTGTGTTAGTAACTTAGTTGTTAAATGAATTGGATTTCCAATTTGACTTTGCTTGCCAGGTCACAAAGGGTGACCACATGACCCCAGAACACTGCAACTGTCATAAATCAGGTGCCAAGTGTCTGACTTTTGATCACGTAACCATGGGGGTGGCTGCAAGAGTTCTAAGTGTGAACCTCAATCATAAGTCACTTTTTTCAATGCCATTGTAACCGGTCACTAAATGAATTGTAAGTCGAAGACTACCTGTACTGAACAATACTACACCTTTGCAGTAAGTTACTCTCATCCTCAGCATAACCCACAATAGAGTTGTTACAGGCTTTCTCCAGTACTGCTGGAGTTAAGTAAGTCTGGTTTCCAACTTTCGATACTTAATGAATTACAGTATCAAAAAATTAAACAATTCATTTTTTTATACACAGTGGGGGAAACTGGAGCGCACTGACATTCGAGTTTAATGGGAAACGGTATTTCTTTTTCCTCGTGATTTCAAAACGGAAACAAAACCAACGCCTTCATTTTTGAATTGTCAACAGTTACTACTAGTCATTTCCCCCCCCCCCCTCTTTGCTGCTTCTAGCACAAGCAACTCGGCGTCAGCCATGACAGCGGAATAGCAAGTGCATGGCGGTATTGAAACGCAACCACTGCTCTTTCGGAGTCAAAGGCCAAGGAGGCGTCTTCCAATCCAAACCACGGTTAACGGGAGCCAAATCCTGCCCCATCTAGGCCAAGAAGAAAAAAAAATGACTTTGATCAATGCGTCCTAATTAACCGTAATTTGGAAGATGTCAATCAAACCGAGAGCTCAAGAGCCCAAGGCTCGAAAAGCGTCCAGAGCCTTGAAGGAAAAGCCCGCCTTGTTTCGGGCTCCTCCTCACGTGACTCACCGGAACCACGTGGGTCCCATTCAGTGGGGCCGGGCAAAAAGGAAGGCGCTCCGGCCAGTGCTGGGGGTGGGTAGGAGGGGGGAGATGGAGGCGCTGGCTGCGCCTAGTGTGGCTGCGTCTCTTCCATGCGCGCCCTTGACGCCGGAGGAATTGCCCGGGCAGCGGAATTCGCCGAGAGCAAAGCCGAAACTCGTCAGGTCAGGCGGGGCGGGAGGAAGCGCCGCCATAAAGTAGAGAGTGGAGGGTGGGTGGGGGGGGAACATGCCCGGGAATCTGCACCGCGAGGAGGGAAGGGGCTGCGGGCGCCGTGGAGCTTCTTGGGGGTGTGGGTGGGTGGGGTGTCGCCTTAAATTTAAAGGGGCCGGTTAGGGCTACCACCCTTCCCGGGCCCGGAGCCACAGATGCCGAGCTGCTTGTATTTAGGGGGAGCGGTCTCCGGAATAGACGTATCCTTCCGAGGTCGGCTTGTTGGGGAGGGCCCAGGTTGTTGGGGGCAATAGGTAGGCTGACTCTGTAAAACCGCTTAGAGAGGGCTGTGAAGCGGTATATAAGTCTAATTGCTATTGCTACCCCACCCCACTCCACCCCCGGGAGACTTCCGAAAGGACGGGGACCCGACTCGGGATCTTCTGCCTCTGGCACAAGTAGGGAGACTAGAAATGGGGAGAAGGGGGAAACCGGGCTCAATTTGGAGGCAGAAAAGGAGGACTTCCTTGTCGAAGGTCCCCGGTTTCAATTGAATTGAATCAGAATAGAATTGGAAGGGACCTTAGAGGTCTTCTAGTCCAGCCCCGTGCTCAAGCAGGAGATCCTATACCGTTTCAGATAAGTTGACTCTTTTTCTAAGCAAGGTTGGGGAGGGGGGAAACCAGCCCTCCTCCTCCTTGAAAGCTTGCAGAGCCCTTGCTTAGGCATTGAGCAGCTCTACGGGTTCCTTCGAGTACGATTTGTGACTTCATGCAGACGTCCCACACTGTTTTCATGGCAACAGGACAGAAATGGCTTGTTACTTGTCCCTTTTGGGGAATAGCTTTAGCTTCCAAGTCCCGTTTAGGCCTCTGACATTTTCTGGTGGCTTCTGGTCGGAAGGACTAACTAAACTTCTCAGAGGCTTCTCAGAAAGCAGCAACTGAATGAGAAACTGCTGGTGACCTACTACCGCTGCACCATAGAGAGCATTTTAACGTACTGCACCTCTTTATGGTTTGCCAGTTGCCCAGTGGCAGACAGAAAAGCACTCCAGAGGGTTAATGTCATTACCCAGAAGATCATGGGTTGCCCTCCCCTCTTTGGAAGAGCTTTATAGCTCCCGCTGCCTTAAGAAAGTTCAAAACATTCTCAAAGATCTATCTCATCCTGGGAACCCTTTTTTTGAACTATTACCATCTGGCAGACGGTACAGAATAATAAAAACAAGGACAAATAGGCTGAAAAACAGCTTCTATCCCAGGGCAGTAGCTCTTTTGAATTCTACTGTATAGTGCAATGTTGGTTTGGTATCATACCTCCAGTTCAATGTGTAAAGGGTGAAGGATGTGTGTTTGTGTTTATTTTCATGGTCGTGGTCATGATGTGCACTGAAGACGGTGTTTGATTTCGTTGTACAAGGTACAATGACAAAGTAAACTAAAAAAAAACCTAAAACTAAAAAAACCCTAATCTTGTCTAGTTTTTCAGAATTAACTAAGGTTAGCTCAGTAGTGTTAACCTAGCTGAAAGCGTAATGAAGCCAGCTGAAATACTTTTGTTACATTTGGTCCTGGGGTCAATAAAATAGAATGAGAGGGGCGAGAGAGAAGAGAAAATAGAAACTAATAGAAAATAGAATATTTGGCCAAGTCTGATTAGACCAGGGGTGGGCAAACTACGGCCCGCGGGCCACATCCGGCCCGTTGGTCTGTCCAATCCGGCCCGTCCCTGAAAAAAAATTGCTGGGCGTGCCGTATTGCCCTGTGCCGCGTGGCCCCCAAAGCTGCAAAACAGTGCGGAGCGCTCTTGGGGTAGGAAAGAAAAGAACTTTGCAAAGGCCTCGGCTGGGAGTTCGAAATCACCTTCGAGTGCGACCTCTCCGAAGGTGAGTCCCCGCCGATCCCCCTTTTTTTTCCGGGGCTTCCAGGCTTAAACTTTGCAAAGACAAAGTTTGCAGGCTGGAGCGTCTTCCCGCCGAGGAGCGGGAAGGGTTCCGCCCGGCGGATGGGCGGGCTGCTTGGAGCGGGCTGCTTGGAGCCACCTAAAGCTAGGCCGCTGCTGGTGGAGCCTTGCCCTGCCTTGGTGCCCCGTTTCCCGGCTCGGCGGTCCTGCTCGGGCGGCACTTTAAAAGCCTGCTCCCAGCACCCGAGCAACTTCCCAGCAACTTTCGGCTTCCTTTTAACTCGCGGGTGCTCGCGCCTGGCCCCGAGCCGCACAGCGGAGGGGAAGCCCAGCGGGCGGGCGGGCTGCTTGGAGGAGGCGACCCGGCGGCGCT